CCATTGCCCTGTCGTGAAATCTCCATGGCTATTTCAAGACCTGCACGTAATTTTATATTTTCTAGTGCTTCAATATATTTGTCAACAAATTATTGATATTCTTTATAAGTGTTTGTTCGGATTCGGAATCACAAGATAGGATAGTGCTATCATATTTGGCAGTGACAAATTTCATAACGCAATTGACAAAATTTTCAAGATTGGCCAACAATTCAGTATTATGCCTAGTAATAAATTCTTTCCAAGTAAATATAAAATCACTTGTTTCAGGACGGCTTGACATTAAATAATATCTCCAGACAGAAACAGGTATTTCAGTATCCTTTGCATCGTCACCAAATACTCCAATATTGCGAGATTTGGAAAACTTCATATTTTCATAATTAAGATACTCTAAATTGTAACATATAAATATATATATAATTATAAAAAAAAAATTCAGAATATCAAGAAATTGACAATTCTTACCAGTCGTGGTTATATGATGCAACAGAGTCCATTCTTCGTCCGTACCCAATAATGAACAAGGAAACATAACAGTATGGAAAGGAATATTGTCTTTCCACATAAATTGATATAATTTGACCTGGTCCGGATTCTTCCGCCATTTTTCCCATTCATTCATGTAATTTGCATATCAGAAGTAATGAAAACCAAATGTTGGTAACACTGAAGTTGTAGAAATTAGGTATATAAGACTACCCGATAGGTGCATCAAACAAAACATAAAACACTTTTCCTTTCATTTTTTCGAGTGGCACTGGAGTGCCCTAGCTAAGATCACGTGCAATACAACGAGGTTTTAACCCTTCTTAAGCCAAGATTGAGTTTGGTTGTAATTTGGATAAATCTAAAAACATGTGATTCAATTTTCTTGTAATAGGTGTACTATTATCTGTTTTACATCGTGGATTTATAAGTTCTACAGAGTTAAGAAGTTGGCCACAATAATCGCATTGATCTTCTCGCGCATCCTACGAGTCATAATTAACGTATTAAACAGTTGGTTATGTCCCTGTACCTGTAAATAAAGATTGTTCACACACCTCATAGCAACATTTAGGACAGGTCCCTTCTACGAAACGATCTGCAAGAAACCTACAATGAATTTTTCACTTTGCAAATAGCTTTCACGTATGATTATAAAAAAAAAAAAAAATCTAAAAGTTTACCGTTGACACTTTTCGTAAAATAATTGAACCACGGTATCTTCACTAAGGTAATCAT